TAATAAACTTACTGATTTCCTTTTTTTCATCAATTGCAAAATTTCTAAATAAACTTATAGCATCTGTTTTATCAATAAATTTTGTATTTTTAGAGTCTAAAAGTGTTTTTGAAACCTTTTGAATGTGATTATTATTCAGTTTGGAAGCAAATTCACAATAAATTATTTCATTGTCATGTTTTGATAAATTAAACTTCCTTTTTATTTTTATAGAATCTTTTTCATTTTTAAATCTCAGTAGAGCTAAACATTTTGAAGGCGATATATACACATCACAATTACCGTTCATTTTATCCAGAACATCAAATAAATTGTTTGATCTTAGTATTAGTGTTGTTTTGTCTAAATTCAAATTCTTCTTATCTTTTCTTACTTTATAATCAATTTCATGACTCTCAAAAAATTTTATAGTATTTTCTATTAAAGTGGTTTCTAATAGTGATATTTTACTACCCAAGTTACAATCTTTAATATCAATTATGTCTTCCTTTTCTATTTTTTTATGATTGAGAGTGCCTTTTAATATCGAATCAAAATTAAAATAAAGAGGATTGAGAACACCTTGATCAATTTCATTGTGTTTATCTTCATATACAGCTAGTTTGATTCTTTTACCACATAACACCTTTACATTTTTATAAAACTTGAGGGCATCATCACTTTCTTTAAACTTAACAATCACATCTAAATCATTAACTTGTAAATCAAAGTCATTTATATCAATTTTCATAGTTTTCGCTATTTCATCTCCAATATCATCAAATACACTGATCATATTTCTAATAAAGATCGTCTTATTATAAACAATTCTTCTTTCTGTTTCATTGTCCAATTCTTCTTCTTTAATAACTTTTAATTTACACTGATCAACTTTTATTTTATGATTCATTATATAAGCATTGTTCCAGTATTTAATGGCTTCACTTGCTTCTTCAGTGTTTCTATAACCTATAAAACAAACTCTTCTAAACTTATTGTCTTTATAAATCATTTTTAAATCTGTGATGGTGCCGGGTATGGAAAATTTAGATCTTATTTCTTCCTCAGATATTTTCAATGGTAAATTTTTAACAACAATTCTTGAAATCATGGGCTGAATAAAATAAATCTTTATTCTGTGATGAATTATTACTAATTATTTATTTTTTTATTTATTAGTTCCCATTATTCCAGTGGTTAGGATATCGGCTTTTCACGCCGGAGACCGGAGTTCGATTCTCCGATGGGAAGTTTT